GGACACAGAGCCGAGCAGCAGCGAGAGCCGCACGGGCCTCTGCTCCCCAGAGGACAACTCACTGACGCCGCTGCTGGATGAAGTGGCGCCTCCCGAGGGCCGGGCTGCCACAGTGCCCCGAGGCCGGGGCCGCAGCCGCGGGGACAGTTCCCGCAGCAGCGCCAGCGAGTTGCGGCGTGACTCTCTCACCAGCCCGGAGGACGAGCTGGGGGCAGAGGTGGGCGATGAGGCGGGAGACAAGAAGAGCCCGTGGCAGCGGCGGGAGGAACGGCCACTTATGGTATTCAATGTCAAATAACTCCCCTCCCGGTCTGGGGTGTTGCGGGGGGCGGGGGGGGGCGCTCTTAGTCCCAGTCCCCCACCTTGAAAGGTGCCCAGGGGCCTGCGGTGCTGTCCAGTTATATGTGCTGGGTAATGTCTTGGAGGGACCCCATGTAGGCTTCCAGGCCGAGGGAGGAGGGAGGGGTCCAGACCCTCGGGGAGGTGCTGGGAGGAGGGCTGGGTGGGGGGAAGCAGTGCCTGTATCGATGTGGCTGTACATAGAAGGCTCTATGTGGGAAAGCAGGAGGGGCAAGGGGCCCCAGCTGCTAGTGTGCGGGCTGGGAAGGGAGGGTTTATTCCCTGTGGACCCCCCGGGAGGGGAGGGGGTGCTTGCTGACTAGCCCACCCCTGGGTTGCGCTGTCACAGGGCCAGTGGCAGAGGCAGCTCTGGGGACTAGGGGGTGATGTGATGAGGCTGCTGTGGAGAACAGCAAATATAAAAGTGGTGAGATTAACTGTGTGTGTGTGTGTGTGTGTGTCTTTCTGTGGGGGTGGGGGAGGCTGGCACTGCTCGATGGGTCCCCTGGGGAAGGCAGACAGGGTGGGCAAATCAGACACAAGAAAGTGTACAAACTTTATTGGAGCACACATATACACACACACCTGTGGATAGGGGAGAGCACCTGGCCACAGGGTCCACAGAAATTAGGGAAGGGGATGGCAGCTTTTAACATGGCTTTTTGCCACAAGTTCCCCCTTTCCCGTGGGAAGGCCTTAGGCTAAGGCTCCACCTCCTACGGTAGTGGACGGGGACTCAGAATGGAAGGGGGGTCAGGGTGAATCTGGTGGGAGAGAGATGCTGGGGAGGCCTGAGCAATGGGTACCCTCTGAGCAGGGTCCCCAGGGCTATAGAGTATCTTCAGTCCATAGTCCCTCTTCATAGCAGCTGTCTCTGGGCTGGGCCCCTCACAGGGATGTCCCAGGGCGCAAACTTTTTGCGCAAACACTTGGTGCCCTTGGCTCCGCAGCGGAAGCCAGCGGGACAGCAGTGCCGCTTATCTGAACAACAGACGCCCTGGATGGCCACAAGTGGGTGGGGGAAAGGGGGGAAGGTGAGAGTCAGAGTAGGATCTGGCTCATGTCCGTACCCAGCCCCAGGGTGGGGGTGGCACTGACCTGGCGGTAGGGACAGCAGGCCCAGCCCCCACGGCTGTCAGGGCAGCAGGTCTGGTTATCATGGCAGAAGCGGCTCTTCCCACATGCCACGTCCCCCATGTCCACGTGAGGGCCGTTGGCCAGGTGGGTGGTGGGCTGGGCAGGGGTCACCTTCTCACAGGTACGGGCCTTCACGTCACAGGTGTACCCAGCTGGGCAGCAGTGCTGTCGATCCTCACAGCACACGGCCTGGGGGAATGAGAGGAAACACAGTGGCCATGTACTCTCCTGCCCCCAACCCCCCAAGACTGAGCTTCGTACCCAGGGGCAGGCAGGTGGATACTCACGTGGGGCAACTGGCAGCAGGCCCAACCCCCGCTCAGGCTTGGGCAGCAGGTCTGGCCCACCGGGCAGCTGGTGTGCTTGTCACAGGTGGCGTCTCTGGCGAGGGGCAGGGAGACCTGGCGAGCAGGCATCTTCTTCAGTGCAACCACTACTTTATCCCCCTTCTGACACTGCCCCTCGCCTGTGCATGTGTAGTCATGAGGGCAGCAGTGCTGGTGGTCCGAGCAGCAGACAGCCTGGAGGGTGAGCAGTAGAGCATGGTCTAGGGAGCTGCTGTATGGGACAGGGTGCCAAGCCCCCCCACACCCCTACCATTCCTGCTCACAACTCCTCCAGCTGGAAATGAATTGGACAGAGCTAGCATGCCACCCATGGGCTAGGAAGAGAGCAGAGGAGTGAGGCAAGGGAGCCTGGCCACCGCCCAGGCCAAGACACTGTCCCCCCCGCAGCACTGCCACCCTACCCATGCACCTCTGGAGCTGGACAGCAGCCCCACTCCCCAGACGTGAGTCGGCAGCAGGTATTGAAAGGCGGACAGCTGGTGATGTTGTCACAGGGGACATCATTCCTGATAGGTTGGGGGTCTGGCAGGCTGAAGTAGGCTGGAGCCTTCTTCATCCAGGGCACGTGGCGGTCCCCCTGCTCACAGATCTCCTTCTCTGTGTCACATTTAAAGCCTGCCGGGCAGCAGTGCACATGGTCCTCACAGCACACAGCCTAGGGTGGACAGAGAGGGGCTGATGGGCACAGGGCCTAGCTGGCTGCCACCCTCTGCTCAGCCCACCCACCACTCCCAGGTACCTGGGCAAAAGGGCAGCAGCCCCAGCTGCCCGTAGACAGGCGGCAGCAGGTGTAGCCATCTGGGCAGCTCACTTCCGTGTCACACTTCACCTCTTGCACTGTGAGGTGCACAACGACAGATAAGCAGTGGACTGGGGACCCACAGGTGCCTGTCTTTTGCCAGAACCAGATGATGAGCAGAGGGCACCCCTGACACTGACCGAAGGCATGGCCCAGTGTGTGAAGGAGAGAGGTTTGCCCCTGCCCAGCCCCCTCCATATCCATTCCTGGGACAGCTTGGTGGAGACTCCTTGGTGGAACAGGGTCCGTGGCCTGCCACTGGTACCTGTTTGGGCCGGCAGCTTGGTGAGGAGGTCTGTAGAGTTCTCCTTGGATAGGCACTTACTCTGGATCAGGTCACACACAGTGTCTTGGGGGCAGCAGTGCAGGTGGTCAGCACAGCATATAGCCTAGGTGGGGACAGGGTGGATCTTTGGACTGCCAGTCTCAGCTGGGCCCAGGGAACAGCTGGGCTGGCAGCTGGCATTACCCCAATCCCCCACAAGGGGGCAGCAAGAGTCCTGAGTCAGCCCCATACACTGGCATCCCCTGTAAGGCCAGGTGGCTGTGTCTCTCACTCACATTGGGCATTGGGCAGCAGCCATACTTCCCACTGGGAAGCTCGCAGCAGGTAGAACCGTCAGGGCACTGGGACCGTGCATCTGGGCACATGACAGCGGTGGGAAAACCCACTGGAAGGAAAAAAGGGGTGAGGGGCAGTAGAAGGGGACCTTTTTCCTAGCTGGGAGCCAGATGAGGCCTCTCCTTACCCCTAAACCACAACCTGCTGCTCTCCCATCCCCCTGCCCATTGTCACCAAGCTGATTCTCTTAGCAATCATATAGTGACCTTATAGGATGAGGAGAGAACTACCCCATAGGGTTTTCTAGGGAAATCTTTTGGGAAGCAGACTGCCACATTTTTCTCCCACAGAGGAGCTGATGAGTTTGAACCACCAACCTTTCAGCTAGCAGCCAAGCACTTAACCACTATGCCACCAGGGCTCCTTTCCCATCACCTTACCTGCTCTATTAGTCCTTTGTGCAGGGGTCTTCTTCGCCAGGGGATAAGTACCCATGGGTGTGAGGCAGTGGCCCTGAGCCAGGTCACAGGTGGTACCATGGGGGCAACAGTGTACGTTGTCTTCACAGCAAGAGGCCTGAGGAGATGTTCTGACTCATCCTTGCCCCCTCGAGTCCCTTGCTCTGCCCCAGTGCCCTCCCCACCCCCACCCCCACCTCCCCAAATCCATACCTGGGGCATAGGGCAGCAACCCCAAGAGCCATCAGGCATAATGCAGCATGTAGAGGAGTTGGGACATTCAAACTGGCTATTGGGGCACTGGATAGCACCCAGAGGATTGGTATCTGTGGACAGCAAAGTCATTGCCTCCATCACTCAAGGAACTAGTGACATCAGAGCCTGCAGACCAGCTGCCAGGGGGCTGAAGCACTGGCAGGTTCAGTGACCTCCTGTTGTTGTTGCTGTTGTTATGTGCTATCAAGTCAAACCCGACTCATAGCGACCCCTCCTTGGGTTTCCGAGGCAGTATCACTATGGAAGTAGATTGCCCAACCTTCCTTCTGAGCAGTGGCTGGTGGGTTTGAATTGCCAGCCTTCTGGTTAGTAGTCAACTGCCTTACGTACTATGTTACCGGAGCTCCTAGTGACCTCCTAGCCACCCCTAACCCACAGCCCTCACAAGCTAGTCCCTGCCCCACAAGACGACACAGGGCAGGAGCCTCCACTGGCAGTTGTGTGGTGTTAAAGCAGGTCACCCTGGCTTCCACCCTCCCTTGCAAGGCCTAGATCAGGGGCCTGGAGTCCTGGATTTCCTGCTGGCCCTCCTGGCCCCAGTGCTGCCCCTCTGTCCAAAGCAGAGTTGCTCAGTACAGATGCCACATGAATGAAGGCACAAGAGTATGAGGAGGGTCATCCATGTGGCAGGGCTCCTGGGCACTCCACATGCCACCTATCTCCCTGTGCCCCCAGCCCTAGCGCACCTGCTCTGCGGAAGCAAGACTGCCCGTTGGCATTGCAATGGAAGCCTTGGGGACAGCAGTGGTGTCCATCCCCGCAAGACACGGCCTGTGGGACACAGAGAAGCTAGTGTTGGCAAGGTCCACTTCCCTGGGTCAGGCGAGGAAGGGAAGTGTAAATGCAGGCCTGAGCCTGTTCACTGAGCTAGGGGCACCCTCACCTCTGGCAACGGGCAGCAGCGGGAGGTTCCCGAGACAGTGAGGAGGCAGGAAAACCCAGCAGAACAGTGGGCATCGGTCTGGCAGGATGTGCCCAGGCGCCTGCTCCGTGTTGTGGTCAGAGTGGGCCAACTGTCCTAGGAGAGAAGGACTAGAATAAACCAAAGGGCCCACGTCTGGCAGCCTCCTTAGGCAAATCCACGGAGGCCCTCCAGAAATACAGGCTCCTGGCTCCTGCTTGGGCTAAGGGGTGCTTACCAGAATGGGGTTGCAGCAACTGTAGCTGGCTCCTCCTGGGTCCAGGCAGCAGGCCACGGGACAGAACTGACCATCTGGGCACTGTGTTCCAGCCACCAGCCCTGCCGCCAAGGCCACCCAGATCACTAGGGTCCACATGGTCTGCCTGAAAAATACCAACAAGCATTTGCTTCAACTTAAGCCCATGCCACCCTTGATTCTGAGGCAACTCACTCAGCCAGGCCCAGGCCTACGTAAGTCTCCCTAATGATTCTGTCCCAAAACCAAAACCAAAACCCACAGTCATCAAGTTGATCCCAACTCATAGCAACCCTATACGACAGAGTAGAATGGCCCTATAGGGTTTCCAAGGCTGTAAATCTTTATGGAAGCGGATTGCCACATCCTTTCTCCCTGAGAGTAGTTGGTGAGTTTGAATTGCTGATCTTTTGGTTAGCAGCTGAGCGTTTTAACCAATGCGCCACCAGGGCTCCTACTCCCTGTCCAGATAGGAAGGAAGATGCAGGGTCTGATTCCACTGCTGCATGTCCCTGTGTGTGTGTGTATGTGTCATCTGCACCAGTGTATGTGTCCCCATGAGTGTGAATGCTGACATGAGTATCCGTGGGAATCTGTGTCGCCAACATGGCCTAACCCCTGAGTTTCTGTGGTTGCACAGTGGAGACCTCTGCATATAACAGTCGGGAGGACGTGTGGTTTTTGTGGATCTGATCTACTGGGACATGAAACACCTGGGGGGAGTAGTGAGGTAGGCATCAGCAGCCACGGGACAGAACGGGAATAGGGTGGCAGGAGGGAGCTTCATGGCTCCCGTCCAGATGCCTCCCTTCCTGGTGGTGTGTGCACACGTGCCCCCACCACAACCTGTGAGGGAGGGGGGGTAACCTAATGACAGGGGAAATCATGGGGTTGAGAAAGTTGTGAAAAAGGAAGTGTGGTAGACAGTGGAATCTGAGTTCCGTCTCCAGAGGTCAGCTGACTGCCCTCAACCCCTGCTCCCACGGAGGGAGAGGCAGACTGGGGGGCAGCCTTTAAGACTCCTGTTCTTTGAGGGCCCCCATATCAGGGCCCTTTCAGACTCCCCAAACACACTAACCCTCTACCCCTGGCTCTTCCCTACGCTGAGAGCCAAATTGCAACCACGTGCAAAGAAAGACCACATGATCTGATTTGAGTCAGGAAGAACTGAGCTGAGCATCTCACTTCCTAAATAATTCTTCCCCCAAGCTCAGCAGGCTGGCCAGAGCAATGGGGCAGGCCTGGGAGGATTCGCCTGCCCAGAGGTGCAAAGGCAGTAACGTTTGGCGAGCCCCTTGGGAGCTAGTTCTAATACTCTTATGCCATCTTTGCAACAATCACCCAAAGCAATTATGACTATCTTTGCTTTCCAAAGGAAGACACTGAGACTCAGAGATGCCCCTGTCATACATCAAGTCATTGCAATGACAGGCTTTGGTGGCCTCACAGCTTGTAGGACTTGGATTTGTTTCACCAAGTGGCACCCAGGGGAGTGCCCAGGAATGGATACCCACAATCCCAGGCAGAGGACTGGAGTCCAAGCAGAGAGAGGGGAACAAAGGCATTTCCTGGGCAGGTGGACAGGGCAGGGAAGAAACAAGGGAACAGTGGCTTTGTGGAAATGGCACTTGGGTCCTAGAACTGTCACCAACAGATTGAAAGAGATGCAAAAGGTGAGTGGGTCAGGAAATCCCACCCACTCAGTCATACCTTCACCTGGTTTTCCTCAGGTGTCACTGCCCCCAAATCTAAGAGCCCCTAACAGCTACATCTGGGTCAGATGAGGATGAAGAGGAGTACTGGACATTTTCCTCTCCTCCACCACCACTGCTCCCAGAAAAATGCATCTGCAGCTGACCCCACCTGCATCATGGGTGTCTAATTTCACTCCTCAGCAGCCTCCCCCAGCCCTAAGGCCAGAAGGAAGGCCTGCCTGTACAAATCCATGACTGTTCCGGACTGTGATGATTTGTGTGTATTTTCCCATGCTGAGGTTTGGGGGTATAGCTTAAGCCTCACTGAATACCCACATGCACAGGACTAGACACGGGGGCGGAGGACGCCCAATCCCTTGCTGGCTTCTCTTCTCCAGGGCTCTAAGCAGCGCCTCTCACCCCCAGCCCACACTTCCACAACCGAATGGACAGGAGCTTCTCCAAGGCCCCAGCTCTGTCATCTTCCACTAGGGGGCACACACCCCCCCCACTCCAAGTACCAGGGAGAGAGAGAGATTCCCCAAAGGTGAGCCAACCAGTCCGCAACTGAGGAAAAAGTGGCTGGGAGCGGCGGAAGCGATCCTCTCACCCCCCACAGGAAGAAGTGAGGAAGAACCAAACCCAACCCTGAGGCTCGGTCAACACTCCCAAGTCCCCCACTAGGTTTGAGACAGCCAGAGTCTCAATTCCCGCTCCAAGTCCCTCTGAGGTCCGGGATCAGGGACGGGCGCCTCTCAGCTCCCAGCAGCCGCGGGCAGGAACCATCAACCCACCAGCACCATCAGAAGAGGAAGGAGCCGACTCCCGTCAACAGAGGGTGGAGCTCGCGCCAGAATGGGGTGGCCCCTGCTTTTGGGGAAGGGGTTACAGCTTCCGGGGATCCTGACGCGAAGAGCCCCTTCGAACTGGAGTCACTTCAATTACTGTTTAATCTCCCTTAAAATTTCCTCCAGTGCATCAGAAAGCCTCAAAGGAGCTTCTAGATGAGAATCTTCCCTTGTCTCCCAGCTGATCCTCCTAAGAAACCTCAAGCTCACTGGTCCCGGGTCAGAACCCCGGGAAAGAGCAAGCGAGAAGCAGGCAAGGCCACCCTCTTACCTGTGTCCGGGTCCGCGCTCCCAGGCAGCAGCTGCCGGTCCTCTCCAGCTAGAACCCCTGTAGCCGAGGACCCCGCCCACCACAGTGTCCATTGGCCAGGGGCTCGGCTGCTTCTCTTCCATTGGTCACTTGTCAATGTGGAGGCGGGGCTATCCTGGAACTCTGTGTTTCTTTCCAACCTAATCACGCCCCCTTCCTCTCCCTCCTCACCTCCCCATTCCTAGGGATCATGTGAGTGGAGTATCATGTGACGCTCTGGACCGGCTCTGGCTGGCGTCCCTTGCCGGCCTTGCCTTCTCCCTGTTCGCCGCCTCCGGGAGTCTGGGAGGGTTTATCTAAGGCGAGGCAACGCGTGTTTGGGGACCTTAGCAGGCTTAGAGGTTACCCATCAGGGGATTAGTTCAAACTGCAAAGGCTTTTACAGGATGTTGGCATGTCGATTCAGGACCATTGTGCATCCCTTTTCGACTTTATCCAACAATTAAATGCTAGGAATTCAGGCCCCATGGGGGATTGGAGAGCGTTGTGAGAGGAAGCAGCCCCAGGCCATGGTTTTCAAGATGCTCCCGACCGCCGAGGGTAGGGAGGGAAGACCGGCTCTGAATAAATCTAGTTTAAGGTACAAAGTAGGGTGCCAGGTGAATAGAGGAGAAGCCAGAGGATAGGGATAAGATATTATTTCCACCTTGGAAGCCCGTTCTTGAGCGGTCTGGGAAGATTTTAACTGGCAGGTGGGGAGGGTCTAGGAGTCTCTGGGTGGTGTAAGTGATTAAGCACTGGAAAGGTTGGAGGTTTCAACCCAGCACCAGAGGCACCTGTGTAGAAAAGCCTGGCTGTCAGCTTCAGAAAGGTCTACATCTTTAAAAACCCTGTGGAGTCTGTGCTTGGTGAAGTGGAGGGTCAGCAGAGAAGAGCAAGACTTTCAACTGCAAGGACTGACACAGTGGCTGTAACAATGGGCTCAAGTATAGCAAGGATTGTGAGGATGTTTTGTACACAGGGTGGCTATGAGTCTGAGCCAACTCGTCAGCACCTAACGACAACATGGAGTACAGTTGTACCCTATACACACAGGGCCACTATGAGTTGGAATCACCTTTGTGGCAACAGTTTTTTTGGGGGAGGCTGGAGGAGTGACTGGAGAGGAAATGTTGGGAAGAGCGTGGTGGGCCTGGGCAGGATTGAATGGCCATTCCGTGGGCTTGAGTAGTTGCTGAGTGCCTGGCACAAGCCTGGGCTGGGGGTGGGAAGTGAAACACTTCCGACTCTCAGGAGGCCCTGCCTTCCAGGAATTACAGGATGGGTGAAGAGAGAGAATTGACACACACAACAGATTAGCCAGTGACAGGAGCCAGAATGACTCAATGCCAAATGGCCTGGTACAGGCAGAGGTGGGTGATGGGGAGACAGGCCGGAAGAGAGGAGAGGCCCAGGGAGAGTGCTGGCCCTTGGAGGAAGGGCAGCAGGTAGAGGCCAAGTGGATGGAGGGCACTTGCAGGCTGAGGAGAGCACTTGAGCTGACGGTGGTACTAAAGGGGTGGAGATGTTGTGCCAGAGTCAAATCAGACTCATGGCAACTCCATGTGTGCAAAGTAGAACTGGGCTCCAGAGGGCTGTCAAGGCTGTGACCTTTCAGAAGTAAATAGCCAGGCCTGTCTCCTGAGGCACCTCTAGGAAAGTTCAAACCTCGGCTGACCTTTCAGCCAGTGGTAAAGTGCTTAGTGTTTGCGACACACACTCAGGGCTGGAGACAAACAGGGGTGGTGGGAGTCTAGGTGGGAAGGAGAGATGGAGTTGTGGAACTGTGTCACAGGGGCTCTTAGCTTGGGGCTAGAAAGGGTCCAGAAAGTGGACAAGGGCTTCTGCTGCTAAGCCAGGACTATGGTGCACCCTGGCGATTCGTCTTTTTCTTCCTGTGTATCCTGTTAGGGAGTGTACTTGTGCTTCTCTTGAACCACACATACACACACACTTGATCTTCATGAAATGTTAGGCAAATTAATAAATGAATCCATTCATCACAACTACACAGAACCAGGGGAAAATGTACACAGAAGGCAAAACCTTCAAAGGACTGAAACATACACCACAAAGACCAACCTTGAAAGCAGAGATTCTGTCTCCAGAGGACATTCAAAGGAGGGTGCTACAGGCATCTAATGGGCAGAGGCCAGGGATGCTGCTAAACGTCCTATAATACACAGAATAGCCCCCCCCACACACACACACACAGCAAAGAACAACCTGCCCCAAAATGGCAACAGTGCTCAGGTAGAGAAGCTCTGTTCTAAAGGATCTCAAGCTTTC